CACGATGGCAATTCAAGAGTACGAATGAACACCGCATTTTTTGAAGTGCACGTTGTTTAGGGTTGACACCATTACGCGGAGCTATGTTACGATACGTTGAATTAAGCTATGTTCACAGATTACCAGCACTTCTTTCTCAAATGCGATAAGAACTAACAAAATTATACATCTATTTGTTGTAGTGTATCCCACTCACCTGCAACTTTTTTAGAAGTGCCTGTTGCCTTCGTGAGCTTCTTGTAGTTTCAAAAAATCCTTCTCCATCTCATTTTTCTGCAAATTTATAACTTCGTCAGTATATCTCATGCAAATTCTGAGTGAGATTACCCTTTCAAACGTAGCCTTTTGTTTATAGAAGTATTAGACATGTCATAGCTGATAATTTCAAAACGTTAACGAACAAGCTGGCGATAAGGAAGGAGATAGCAGCTAGAAGGCCTGCATGAGAATCACTTATCGGATCTTATGAGTAAATCAGAGACAATATAAAGCCACCTTGATAAGATCATTCTGAAGGTGTTGAAGTCTTGATTTTATTTCTTGTTTCTTTGCGGATTCATCTGCCAACTTCTTTTTTAGGAGCACTGCAAGTGCGAAAATTCGAAAAGTAGAAAGTTATGTTGCAGTGTCAGTCCTCGGCAGAATGAAACCCGTAAAAACACGAAGACCCAGTCGTGCATTTCATAGTATTTGCCAGAGAAAACTAACACGACTGCTCTATGCAAACAAAAAATGACAGCATTGATCTGTGTTAAATAAAAAAATCAGGGTTTAACATGTGAACAAGAACAAGTGCAAGGACACGAGCTACAAGGCAAGAAGAGGAATGTATTTGCTCAACATGGCTTGAAGTAAAACACAAAAAGTTTCAAGACCGTTATTTTGGTGTAAGCTGCTTTTCATTCATTAGTCTTTCGCCCATTTGTAAGAAAACTTTAACGGTAACTGTTTTAGGCAACGACGACGTTGTGTTTCATAGCGGCCGAGAACAAGGGTACAGCAACTCTTACAAAACTTCTATACCAGCTCAGAATGTGTCACATTATCTAAGTCTTTGGAGCTGACCTGAATATTAACCTGAATATCTCGTCATGTTGGCCTAACTCCCTTCTCAGCCTACTGTCGGTTTCCTGAAAGAATCAATTACAACTAAAAATAAGCTTAAGGGCGCTTTACAGTGCAGCTGATTCAACCTAGGCTTCTTGACTTACCTGTTCCATAGGTTGTGTGCACGAGCAAAACCCGCCATACGCGATTAGAATTTCCAAGCTAGAAAGTGATTTAAAAAACCGCTCGAGAAATATCACCTTAAGAATAAATGAAGGCCTTCATTCGGGGACTTTCTCTTTCCACCTGATCGTCCCTTAATAATTTAAAAATTTATCACAACCTAGAGGCACACAAGCCCCCTAGAATAAATAAGTGGTTGAAATGAAAACAACGTTTTTGTTTGGCTGGACTTGTGCAAACAACGAGTTGAAATTATCAACTCATCTTACTACACTAAACTTACTTACTAAAACAAGACGGTTCCTAATACTCAACAACTAATCACCTCTAAACGTTTGCAATCCTCTCGCACATGCAGGAGATCAGCTGCCATCTTTCTCATTGCTGTTCTGTAACTACCCACCTCCTGCAAATCCCACAAGAAACACCGGCACAATAAAGCTATCTGCAACATGTCTAAATGCTAATGATATTCTCTCAACGTATTTTACAAAAACATATCTTTATTGTTTTCTTTAATTGATTCTTTACAGAACATTCCATGCTATCCTTAAAAGTGATGGAACTTCAGCACAGATCTTTATACTGACAAGAAGAACGACTGAAAGGAGAATTTCACTCATGGAGCTCCCACCGCGCAATGAAGTCAAAATTAGAGCTACCGCAGCGCGCAAACGTCAATCTTTTTTCACTGATTTTTGTTATTCGCATAAGGGACTTCGCCAGAACTGAGGGACTGCTTGTAGTCTATACATAAGGTGGTTTTCTTTTTCCACTGTCTCCAGGTAGAATCGGAATTTAGAATGTTGGTTTTTGTGGAGGGAGGAAAACCGGAGGATTCGGAGAAAACTTTTGGAGCAAGGACCATAACCAACAACAAGCTTCACTCACATGTAACACCAGAAATTGAACCTGGGCCTCAGCAGTGGGAGGCCATCCCTCTTACCAATACATCCTTGCTCCCTTTTTCCACTGTGATATTGTGCAAGATTACATGTTGTACATGCGATCTGCCCCTAAGCATGCTAGGTAATGAGAGTGTTTTTTTACATACTTAACGCTATTCGCGCATTGGCCTGGTGAAGACAAAGTTTCATCTCCTCTGTGTTGGTGATCTGCAATATCAGAATAATTTTCAGTTTCAAGTCACTGGGTAGCTTGAGGTAATACAAACCAAAAAAAACAAACAGCACAAACCAAAGAGATCTATAATCAGGCACTGAATCTTGTAAGAGACAGTATTGAAATAAGATATTTTCTAAATTGTCTCTTACAAAGATTTCATCTGAAAACGAAATTGTTCAAACCAAACTGAAGCGGCTGATGAAGCTAATAGACTGACAGGGACAAAGGCAAAAAGCTATAAAGTAGAAATGACCTTTTCATTTGAAATATTTTAAAAAGGCAGAATTAAGAAACTTTTTCATATATCCCGTAATTTCACTATTAAAATTTCGACTCGATAGGCCTGGCCTTAAGAAGCGATAAGTCATAACCACTTCATCTCAAAATTCCTTCACTAAGACACCGCAACACTGGAAATTATATTATAGGGTCAAAATACCAGGAGAAATGTTGAGAAATCCTTAATCACGTTCTTGTTCTTACGGAATAATTTTCTCTCTTCATCTTGGGTGTACAGTCTCTCCGCCTCAGTATCTGCGGCTGTTGTAACTCTCCACTGCCTTTCTACTCGAAATATTCGCCTGTACAGCGACAGTACTTCCCTCATCAACATTGGAAGAACCGACTTGCAATTTCTTTGAAGGAAACCGTGATCTTACTGAAGCCGAAAACTGCAGCAACCATGTCAATTTTGCGGCGTGTGTTGCGCCGTGTTGAATTTCATCCTTTAGGGTTACAGCGCTGGCCATATGCGGCCTGACTCTTAGGAAATGATTTCCTCCGGTGATTTCTCTCAACCAAGTATTCGCAAGGTGAACATTGCTGAATTCTTCCCAAGATGAGGCATAGGGGGCGGAAGGGGGGGTTCAGAGACTGAACTCATAGATATATGTCCCTGCAAGGCCAGTCGAGTGTGGCTCACCGCAGCTTGTATCTGTCCCGTCCATGTTTAGCAGCTAGCAATTCCAATCGTAAAAGACCACAACACAGCTAGATACTTTCTTGCATTACTGACAATGTGCGCTGTACAAAACCAACCGCTGCCTGTCTGATAGGAATTAGAGGAATATGCATGTCATTCTAGTTCCAACAGGTCTCATTTCTAAGAGTGTTTCTTTTCGAAGCCTCTACAGGAATAACTGACAGGTAAAATTAACTTATGGGTGGAGGATTGAAGAATGAAATAGGTTTTATTACTATTATTCTGGACATAACAAAGATAACGAAACCAACAACAACTTATGGTAGTGTGTTTGTTTGAAATATATTTTCCTACGGAATTACAGAATGCATGTCTTATTGTTGTTATACACGTCTGTAAGTTGCGATAGATCTGTCACAATTGTCTCGTACTGTTGACGACCGTGCTTTTTCCCGGCTGGTAGGGCGTTTTCTCATAGATATTGTCCGAAATACCGCTAGGGTGTCAAAAAAAGGGTGTTGGTCTGGAAAACGACATATACAACTAAGGATTAAGAACAATTCCTATTATTCTTAGAGCGCTTTTCGTTTGGGTGTTTCATCATAACCGTCAATTAAAGCAGAAAAAAATATCTCAAGAAACCGTCGTAAATCTCGAAGTAAAAAAAAAAATAAAAATAAAAAAACGCAAACTACCTGAAGGAAAATTACCTGACGGAAATCTATCTGACGAAAAACGTCAGTGAATAAGTCACACTGGTTTGCATGGTTATTGGTTTGCATCTTTTTAGTTGAATTTAGTTGAAGTGCGTTATCTAAGCCAATCACTGAGCACGTTGAAGGATAACTCCCGCACAACTCTCGACACTTATATGGAAATTGCTCCGCCACTCGAACATTACATCACGCATCTGAGTCACATCTGAGTCACAATTCTCCACAAAGATGTGGCGGATCCCCACCAGCAAGAATAGCTCGTGTCAGCTTTTTAGCTCAAAAAGGATAAAGTTTCATAGCTTTATCGTCGAAGAAAAACGGAAAGTGAAAACAAGCATAATATCCATTTAATGTTTATGAGTTACATACTTTCTTCTGAACTGTTGGTTCGGGTCTCTGGGTGAAACCACTGACTATTAAACTTCAGTATTGCACTACGAAGAAGTTTATATCAAAACTAAAATATTTACATCTAATCTAGTGATCTTAGAGAGCCTAATTTGGGTAAACGTTTTCCTGGCTAATACTATGAAATAAAAGATTTAAGAAAGACGTTAATTGTCTAGTTTCTTCAGTAATGCAAAATTCTGAGTTGAATCACCATATTGCCTGCTTCTCACGGTGTCTTGGTAGGTTAATTGTCGATGTACTGAGGTTCTACGCTGAAAAGTATAAGAGTAATCAAAGGCTTAAATCTGCAATTTTAGAGAATGTCAGTTTATATTCTAGTGGTAGTAGAAATATTGGTAAAGAGATGATGGAATAGCCAGCAGGAAAGAGGAAAGAAAAAGGGAGAAAGATAGGAAGACATGAGTGAAGGAAAGAAGTAAGGAGAAAGAGTTAGGCATGAATAGATAAGCATACAGTTTTATGAATAAGTAAGTAAATAAATGAATGAATAAATAAAAGACAAATCGATGAATTAATAAATGAATGACGAAAAATTCGAATAGGTGGACAATAAAAGAGAAAAACAAATACAAAAAAATAACTCCTCCTCATCTCCCTTATAAGAATCTCGCATTGTTCTTCCATTTGTAGTTCTGTCCATAAGATTTCCTTACTCGTTGCATCTCTTTTAGCCGCTTTTTCCTCTCCTTTTGACGGACCTTCTTGATCGCCTTTGACCAGTCTTCGGGATTATCTGAGTTAACTACACAGAGTTCTCCAAATTCTATCTTCTGCAACACTTTTGCAAAGCCTGAGTTATGGCCAGCAAGGACAGGCAAACCAGTGGATAAGGCCTCAAGAGCAGTGAGTCCAAATCCCTCTGTTCTTGAAGGCATGATAACCAGATCCATACGAAGAAGCAGCTCTTTTAATCGATCTCTATCCTTGATATATTCTTTGACAGACAGCTGGTTTTTAGAAATGCCATGTTGAAGAATCTTCGCCGCAAATTCGTCTTGTTTTCCTGGGGCCGCTCCAACGAAGGTGAGATAATAGGAGTCGTTTTTCAGCTCATGACTTGCAAATGCCCTAGCGGCAATATCATAGCCCTTTAGCTCGAAGTCTTCGTCATCACCACGCCCAAACATCAGGACCTGAAACACGTCATTATCGTTTGGCGACTGCTTCACATCAGTTAAATCTCTCATTATTCCCGGTGTAAATTCCACAACATCCTGATCTTTGTTGAAAGAGCGTATATGATTGGAGTAGAAACCTTTCAATTTAGGTCCAACTGCCATGACGAGGTCAGCTATTTTGCATAAACCAACCTCACGCTGGTTCTTTTCTTCACTTTGTGCGATAGCTTCCGCACAGTCCTTGTGCATACCGAGTTCATCCGGAGCAGTGTGCACTACTTGAACCCACTTGCAGTCATGAGAGTCCCTAATAATCTGAGCCTGATGACCAAGCTTCGCGCCATGACCAATTACAACATCAATTCCAAGGTCTTTCGGCGGAAAGAACAATTCTACAGGGGAAGGGCATGCAATAAGTTTCTTGGCCTCAATAATAGAAACACAATTTTTCGCAGCTGCCGCTTTTTCTTCCATTCCACAGGCACCGTGAGGAACAAGGACGGTGACTTGAGTATCGGAACGGCTTGCTAAATGAATCGCAAGTTCTCTGTTAAAAGTCGATAATCCACCTTTCAGTGAATTCCACTCATCTGCTAAGATTGTAACTTTCAAATCTTCTTTTGAGAAATTATTTGAAGCTGTTTCTTCAAGTGCTCTCGGTGAGGGGAAAGCTGTGCTAGATTCCATCGCAACCTGAAATAACATAGCAGAGTTCTAGAAACGTGCGATAAATTATATTAACTAAAAACCCACCTTAAAGTTCCTTACTGATTCTATCAGGGTGACCAATCACTCTACACAAACCGGATTTAAAAAAATCGACTGGCAACAACCCTTAACTAGACCGTCTGATTATGACTTCTACTGAGTTTGTCAAAACGCCAGTCACTACTACCGACAACAGTCCCTAGAGTCGTCAGGACTACACTCACCCGGACCATCAGCCTACATGACCAATTTTAACGAACTGATACCTTTAAACGAAGGCTGGAAAGCGCTAATAAAAACTAGTAAACTTGTGGGAGGCTTTTTTCATCTCGTGACTTCATCAAAATCAAATGATCAATAATTTTTTTTTTTCCGATGGCGACACATCTGATAAAATATGATATTGAACATAAGCTGAGGGAAATGTAAAGAAAACGGAAATTCGAATAAATCTGTTTGTTTGATCCACTAGTAAGTTTAAGATCCGGAAACGAGGACATATTTCATTGAAAACTGTGGACATCTAAAGGGTCGGTTGAAATTGCTAATCTCTTGTAGCTATTTTCTTTAATATTTTAGAACGGTTGCCTTTTTCACCTCATCTTCGTTTTGCTCAGGCATGGCTACTTGTGCTGTAAAAGGAAAGTTCCTGGGAGAAGAGCTCTGCAACAGAGAAACTTAATTTCTTAGAAAACATACTATATCCAAAATTTATGTCTATCAATTCTCAAGCCTTGTCACCATAAAATTGTTGTCAATTGGAATATTTGACTCTCTAAGGATATACACTACGCCCTGTGTCTTTACCAAGCTAGAGTCCCTCAAACCCGAGGAGACTCTGGTGCAAATGTGATAAGATAGCCGTCGGTCATTTTACAAGAAAACCCCTTACATTAACGGCCATTCACTCTGGCGATTTTTCCTGCAGCTTTGAGAGCTATTTCTGTTGCGATTCATTCCCGTGATTTCACGGGGACATAAACCATCCTTGTGGTAGCGTCTTCATTTTACTTTCACTAACAATCTGCAAAAATCAGGCTGCAGCAAACTGTCTGAGTAGATATCCCACAAAAAGAGTAGTTGAGCTCTGCCAGTGGCAGTTTAAGTCGAACTTAACCTCACCAGTACCAAATAGATGCAACGATACAAGATGATAAAATAGAAAAGAATTACAGTGAAGGAACTATTTGAAAGAGCTAATTTAATCTTCTGTGAAGCTAACTTGTCACGCTCTTTGCACGGCTGCGTGAGGGGTGTAAAACCTTCGCACAGATGGAGGTATCTTTTGGGCGGGTTAATCCTGAGTTACTCAGCCCAAAGGAAAGAGCTTCAAAATTACGTTTCTAAAACACCTCCTAATCAGAATTTACTCCCATAGTTCAATATTTTCAACTTCATATAATACATACCTGATCTGGAAAGGTCGGAACGAAATACAGCGTGCATAGAGTGTCCCTATTAAATTGCTCCTCCATGTACAACTCTACTTGCAGGTTACTAAGGTCGCTAATGGATACACGCAAACTACCTTCATAAGGATAAGTTCCGAGAAACCTGGCACAAACAAATGAGACGAAGATATAGATACTAGGTATTTCTATTTGTCCAGGCAAAAGATATGTTTCTCATTACACATCTACTCTAAGTTGCCGGACACAGAAACTCACACTAAACTCACTTCAAGAGGTTGTATGGATTTCCTTCTTGCAAAGTAAATGCGTTGGCAAGAGACACAGACATCCAATCTTCTTTACACAGTGGCTTCCGCGAGTTTCCTCCCCCTTGAGCACAAACGCGGCGAGAATCTGGAGATAGAGTTTGCACTTGTTCTCTAAGATGTAGTGGGAAGCAGAAAAGAGTCAGCACATAGATCGAGGGATTTTCTGTTGCATATAAACGAGCAAAAAATCCCACTTCTTGTAACATCAGTCTTCTACAGAAGTCATCGGCAAGATTCTTTAGGGTAACAAAGGGTAATTTCAATCGGTCAATCCAAACCCAGTACCTAAGGGAAAACGACACAAACTTAACAACATCTATTCATATAGTCATTAAAGTTAAGAGAGCATTCCCGATCATTCATCATCAAATCAGAGCGCGCACATCTTTGAACAAGAGAATGTATGCAAATAATCTCTTGCGTAGAATTACGGATTAATTGCTAATGCACCGATCAATTCGAAGTTTCAACAACCCCCCCTCCCGGACAACCCAGGGACATTTGACTGACGTCCGTGCCCGAGAAGGAGGAGAATTCGATCAAAAAGGCCTTTTCGTGGGTGGGAAATTTAAACCTTGCCCCGGGTGGGGTGGGGCATTTGAACCGGAAGTACGAATTTGAATCGGAGGTGTCAAGTCCTTTCAGCCGTATACACGAGCTCTTTTTTGAGATTGAATAATTTAAGAAAAAGGGGAAAAAAGGTCTTCAAACGCTGTGCAAATTTTGTGAGATTGAGTAGTGTGATTTTTAGGTTTTATAGCTTGAATAGTCAATTCAGTAAGTCGCAGCGCTGATCTCGCTATTTTCACAAAATAGTTGTTGTCCGCAGAGTATGCATGAACAGCTATTGAATAGCACATGAACCAATGCTGTAAATGTAAAACAAATATAATTCATTCGAAGGTATTGCATTCAGTGGCTAAACACAGCAGCATGATAAAATTTCACATCGTGGAATATGTTAGAATTATGCTTATAACCGAAAGGCCATAAACCATGCCTTTTTCTCGCCATTTAAACATGTTTTCTTTGGAAGAGGGGTAATTCATCATAAAATCCGGCACTTGAGTGGGGAATTTAAACAAACCAATCTTCAAAAGTTCAAAGGACTGGGGGGGTTGCCCAGAGGGTGGGATTTTGAAGCTTTGAAACGATCGACGCTTAAATTGTAACCAATACAAAAGATTAAAGCCAGTCCCAAGAATTGTTAAAAAAATATTCTCGGCCTAAAGCAAAAAACCCAATTTTTTTAATGAGAAACGTTCTCAGATTAAATGCCATTTTCCAGTATACAGCCTAAATTTTATGACATAATCCTATCCCACTGAGAAAATTTCTCATGAAACTAAATGCTACGGTTGGTCAGTTTTCCACGCAATTCTCACGTGCTGAGACATTTGCTATCAATCAAATTCGCTGACGAAGGAACGGCAGTAACCATTGCCTTAGTCTGCGAACAGGCCATTGCTTGGTCTCGTCACGCAACGAAGAACAGAGTGCAATGGAGGAATGAGACTACAGAAAGCATGGCATCAGTGCAGTTTCTTTTTCCCCGACAATTATTCAGACAAGAGTGGCAATAGACCATAAAGCACGTGTGTCTGAGTTTATTTTGAATAAATTGGAAGGTTTCTTTGCTCTCCACTGATCGATATTTTCATTGCAATCTTTTGAAAGTAAAGGCTCTTTTCTTTTACAAAAATGCAAACATCAGTTACTTGGTATTCCATTTCAACCCACCCATCGAAAAAAACAAACTTTTGCATGGGTAGCATGCCTACGTTTACGTCAGTAAAGGGCGGACAAAACAAATCGCTCTCCCACGAGATCTCGTTGATAAACGGGTCACACCGCGATTTGTGTAATAACCTGAGATACCTGAAAAGTCGATTAAGGTTTGTAATAAATACCTAGAGATGAAGACTCGGATTTAGAGTAATAATTTGGGCGTTTGGTTTCCTTTGTTCTTGTTTTTTTGCCTCTTTTCTGTAGTTTTGTACACTCTGATGTCACCTAATGATGCAGGTCTTTTCTGCAAAAGATTTACCCCGACCCTACCCACGTGAATGCTTCGCAGTTTATTGCTGCTTTCAAAACAGCCAGAAGAGTATACTTACTCTGAGAAGTGATTTACTGTAAACGTCACTGTCCCGTTTTCAAGAACCGCTATATTTTCTAACTGCTCTGTGACTTCATTCCATTCTCTTTCATCCTCTTCAGAGGTTCGGCAAAATATCCTGACGTCAGTGGCCGAATAATCCGGGCATTTGAGTATGTCTTCTCTGAGTATAACAGGGATTGTGAACCTAGCAGGTGCTAAAAGCTGAACTGGTTCAGAAGGTAAGATATGAAGAATAGGCCCAGCAACTAGTCCTTCTTTCAATTTAGCATTACTGCATGGAACCTCTTGCACCTTCAAAGAAAGATGAAGCTGTACTGAGTGAACTGATGAAAACTCAAAAGCGCCCCAACTTAATAAAAGAGTTGGTAAGGCAAGCTGAATTCACAAACACCTCTCACAGAAGTCGCTGACTGAAGGTAAGTAGCAATAATAATGTGCATCGAAACATCATGCTTATCGAATCATAGCTAAGTCTACCTTCGTGTTTAAAAATATTGTCTTTAACAGCAAAAGCTTAATTTAATATGTAAAATATTAGTTTTTTTTTTTTTTTTGAGAGGGCACGGTAACGAATCTTACAATCTGATTGGTTCTTTACCCGGTCAGTATTTTCCTATCTCTGCCCACGGGCCGCGGTAACGCTTTCGTGAGTCGCCAAGTCCATCCCAACTTTCGTTGCCATTTTCATAAATATATCTCGTTTTTCCGGCTGGGCAGTATTTTTAAGCAAACACGTCGGTCACTACCTCAAGCCGATGAATAACTTATGAATCCTCTATTTTCTATCACTCAAATCACCTTGGTTGACAGAAAAATATTGGCTTCAGAATGAATTTGTATAAGCAATAGTGACATTACGTTGCTTGGCAAGCGGCCTAAAACCCGTCTGCAATTAATTTTAATCGTTCACAAAAAGTACCTAGAAAGTTAAAACGTGAGGTTACAGGTTATTTGTTTACAGTTAACCTGAACGATGGAACTTTCGCAGTGAAAGAGCGAGCGAAGTTTTAATTTAAGTTCTACAACAAATAAACGCTCTCGGTGAGTCTTTCCAATTCCGTTCAATTTGAACATCTGTACCGTAAATTGCACAACAGAAACTGAAGGAATTTTTTGAGAAAAGGCCGCATTAAATCCCTTGTGTCTCGTTGGAGTGTGCCATTCGAATTTACTTTTTGTAGAGGAAAGACCAGATTTACACACGCCACTGCAGCAAACAAACGAGCAAACTCTCACAACTGTGACCGAGGTCTTGAAAATACCGCCCGAGGCCGTAGGCCGAGGGCAGCATTTTCAAGACGGAGGTCACAGTTTTTCACCATACGGACCGACCCTTAGCCGGCAAAAAACATATATGTATTACTTTTAAACTCAGAAAATTGCGTGTAAACATCAGAAATATTTATGGAATATATTTTAGTGTGTCACAGAAAATCCTAATGAAGTGTCAGGAAACCAAAATTAAATTGAAAAAAACAATTATGGTCATTAGTTTTTGATTTTGAGGGTTACTTGTATGGGCCAAACTTGAATGTGATTGGCAGGTGCTGATGTGACTTTTTAGAATCCAATTAGCGCGGTTGTCAGTACTTAACCGAATAATTATTGTAGTTTGCATTGGGAAATAAGAAATCCCAAAGCAACGTGCTTCACTGAAAATTTTTCACGAGGTAGAATCCACCAAGTAAATGTATATATTTATTGTATTTGCACTGTCACCAATGAAATTTATAGTGCCTTTAAGGTTACTTCCCACATTCAGAGGCCAAAAAAACCAATTTTTCTTTTATTTGACAAAACTGAATTTAAATATTCTACCCAACTTTTCCATAAAAAAAACTTCTGAAACCTTTGAAAGCACCCGAGTTATTTACAAGAAACGTATTTTCAAGGTGTCATAATCTCGGACCTGGACGAATCCCGTGGGGGAATTTTCGCGGCAACCGCTCATGTTGGGGCTCGTTCTTCTTGTTGTTCCCATGATTTGTTTACATCACGCTTTTTACAAAATTCACGCGTGAAAGCTCTTTGTTTTTGGAAAAATCTTTGCTCATGGAAAAATCAAAAGCGAAAGAAAGTCCCAAGGAAAGAAAACAGAAAGCAGGCTCAAAGAAGAAAGAAAGAGTACCATTCTGTCAAGAAAAGAAAAATATTCCTTTGTGAAAGTGACTGGTACTGGCGGAGCTCCATGCTGGCGTCAAGATTTCGATTGAAGAAGTCCCCGTCGAACCAAAATTTGCCAAACACGCTGTTAAAAACGAGATTTCCTTTTCTTCATGCAAGTACCAGCCTTGATACAAAAACATGAACAATCGCTTCGAATCGTAACTTAAAAAGCTGTATGTCGATTCGTTGTCTTGCTCCTCAGCACCTTTTCCGGTTTTTCCATCTTTGCCGCGGGTTCTTCTTTTGCCTTTGGCAACTTTACTCATTATTGTGTCGTCCTCCTCAACGCTCCACTGAGCGATCTAGGTGGAAAAAAAGACACGTGTCTGCAATGGGTAACTTTCCTGGGAAATCTCGATCCATCGTTGACCCCAGGGGGTCCCGTTGCCTTATTGGTTTGCGGGTTTCAGGAGGCGAGATAATCTCCTGGCTTGGCACGAGTTGTTTGCGAACCTTTATGAGCTAACATCTCGCATCTTGGTTTTGGGGGGAATACAACCACTTTGAGCAAATATGAAAGGTATATGGATTTGACCGATTTTCGTCAAATTTCGCAAAAACATCCGAGGAATAATGACAAACAAAAGTGTATCGGAAAATTTCGATATTTGAAATACGCAACACGACTCGCATATTTTTTGCTACACCAACTTTAGATGCCGATATCTAGACAACTAATCAAAATATCGAAGAAAGCCTGAGACACTTCTTCTGATTGATGCCTGTGAATGAGACTGTGCAGCCAGTTAGCTTGTGCTGCGGCATCCGATACCCGATAAATTCAACAGAAGAACCTTCGGTCGTTTCGCGCCTCACCGGCTCCTGACACTTCCTTAAAAAAAAGGTCGCTTGAATTAAATTTTTATCTTTTTGTCAAATATCTAGTTTCCTAGGATTTTAGTGAAACTAGCGCGCGTAGGAATTTTTTCACGAAGGACACCCGCGAAGGTGGGAAGTAACCTTAACACTATTTTTCGAATAATGGCAATGGTAACATTATGAACATCACAGCCACACTTCATTACAATGCCGGGACACCCTCTGCAGGTCTGTAAGAATTGTATGCAAAAAGGCTTTGTCAGCTGCATAACACGAACAAGTAGATTCACGATTAATTGTTTGGAGTATGACCCTTACAGTCTTACATAATTTACCTATTCCAACTGCACTGAAACCTCCATTCAGAGGACACCCTGGGACCAGAGCGAGTGTCCCCTACAAAGAGGTTTACTTTTGTTAATAATTTATTCCCCTAAAAAAGGGTCATCTGAATTGTTATCCTTTGGCAAAAGTGATGTGCAGTGTTAAAGAAAGGTCATATTGTGAAAGCTGTTGTCATCGTGATTAGCGTACATTTAATCTTTGGGATCAGTCACATTTTGAGTGGTTAGAATGAACGTTACAACCAGGCTTCAGGAGCCAGAAAAAATGTTCTAATCCCTGGAATATAGGTGTCCCTTCCTTTGAGGTAACGGATACAAAGATATTATTGAACATTTTTCTGAGACCAAAGTTTGTGTAATGAAATAATCATGTGGTTATTGTTCATCGTGGTGTAAGATAGGAGATGAACTTTATTCGTTGTCTCACGTGTCACTTTGGATGTTGATCGCGACATTTCGACTGCAATACTGCTAGTCTTCATCAGGCGATGAGGTCGATTGATTACATTTCGTTATTTTTAGCACGTTGGTTCGCTGCTATTGGTGCATTTCGATCCTCATTATTAATATTATTCCGGTTGTTAGATGGTGTTAGGGAATGATGATATGAGGGAACACCATCAACGTTGCGATCAACATCCAAAGTGACTCCCTCGTGAGACACGAATAAAGTTCATCTCCTACCAAAGTTTGTGTTTCCTGAATAGGGGTGTCCCAAATAATCTAAGTAATAAAAAGAAAATATAATGAAGAGATCAAGTGAGCAATCCAGCTTCCATTACTCAAGTCATGCAATTTGTCTCATGGGCTACAATTCATTACGTCTATTTTTAGGTCAAGTTAATAAAGATTAAATGCATGTTAAAATGTCATTCCTGGTGTCGGCATCGAATCCGCTGTATTGGCAGTCGGGAGTTAGACCAATCATACAAGTTAGACCAGATATAACATTCAGACTAGTCGGATTAGTCAGAGTAGTCAGACTGGTTAGACCCCAAGGGTTTACAGAAGTCTTGATTTTGAGGCAAAAATTTTAAATCCGACAGAGTTACAGCAGATCACAAGGTGATCTGCAATTTGCTCAATGTTATTAGTATCAGTAGCAACCATCAGGACAGAGTCGCTGGTAAACAAGTAGATCTCTTGTCTTTGATGGGGCTTTGAGTCTCAGAATTGCTAAACAGTTATCAATCTACACAAGTCTTTAGGACTGGTCATTATTCATTACCTTTAGGGGGGGGTCGCAGGAATTTGAATTTGGTTGTGTCACAATAACATTTACCTAATCCCCCTTAGGGCTCTGCAATATTCTAATGTACCCCCAAAAGATCAATGAAAGTTTAATAATAGTTTGTCTAACGATGCCATTAATTGTTGATGGCGACGTTTTGTCTGCCACACCGAGAGTCGTTTAGAATACACAGTTTGATCGACAATTCATGAGGAGTCAATAACTTGAGATAACCTACCAAACTATTATTTATCCAATCAAAAAACAAGCGTCAAACAATAATTCTATCCTTCATAAAAATTACATTTTGATTGACATGCGATAAGTAAGGGGAGGAGACTATCCGAGCTTTTATGCCTCTGACTTAAGGGGAATGGCAAAGTAGCAGGCCTTCTCTGACTTCCCAGTCAGTGCCAGTTATCACTTCAAACAAACACTGATTGCCCACGTCTGTTATATTCCGATTTCTTCGCAGGTTTAAGCACCGTAGTTTGCAGAAGGTATCAGTTAAGGCTTTACACAAGTACTTTATTTCTTCATCTCCTAATTCCTTGTAACTGATGTCTGAGCTCGTTAATGCACAGTTCTTGTTGGTCAAAGTTTCAGGTAAGTCTTTTAATACTCCATCTCCTAATCTGTTATGACTGATATTTAAACTGGTTAATGTGCAGTTACTGCTGGTCTACAAAGTAAACAAGAGCGTTATTCCTTCTTCCCCTAGCTCATTGCAACTGACGTTTAAGTTGTTTACTGACTTGCAGTTAGTGCTGATCAGTGCATCACACAAGTGTTTTAATCCTGTTTTTCCAAAAAAGGTCCCTGTGACGGTCAAATTGGTCAATTTGCAGTTAACACTGATGAGCTCGTTACACAAGTGTATTAATCCTTCATCTCCTAACCTATTGTCACTGATGTTTACGCTGGTTGAACAGCAGTCATAACTGATCAGCACTTCACACAGGTGTTTTAATCCTTGACTTTAAAAACCAATGTCATTCAGTGTCAAGCTGTATAGTTCACTCTGAGTAACCGCAGTAGTCATCAGATATCCGACTACTAGAGAGGATCATACTGGTTACTTTCCAGTCCCTGTTGGTGATCGCTTTACACAGTGTAACCAAACCCGGGTCGTACTGTGTTGGCCACGCCTTCAATATGCCTGAACTTGAACTGTATAACGGTATACTAAACATCTCCTCGTCCTCGTCCTCGTCCTCGTCCTCGTCCCACACTTCATGATACCAGTCCCATGACAGTTTACGTGTTGGTAGCTCATCCATAAACAGCAGCGCCACTTGCCATGCACCTCCTCTTATGTGAATGTGAAGAGATGTTTTCAATTTGTATTTATCCACTGCTTTTCGAAATTTCAATTGGAGTACTGAATGATTAAAACAAATAGAATATCAGTATTTTACTTGAAAACATAATTGCGAAAAAATCACCTTTGCAGAATTTTTTGTTTTTGTTTTTGTCTCAAATCTGACAAACCACAAAAAATACCTCGGCAAATTGGTGATTTGAATATCAAGAGATGTTTTCAAAAAAAGCAAAATACTAAGCCAGAATATATTAGTTATAACGGGAAGGACTTTTAATGCATTAGACACTTTCCCAATATTTGAATAACAGAACAAAAATTATGTCATTCAACCAAGCACTTTGAGATTACCTTAAACCACTAAGTGTCAAGATTGCAAAGGAAGCCGACAGCAAAAATTGAACAAAAGACCTTGAGGTACTCTAAGTTGGTACAGATACACTGACTGATCAAAAAAACATCGCAAATAGTTTCAATCGATATTTCATATCGGAAAATTTGACTTATCCTCTTAACTTCCTGAAAGTTGATAGGACAAAGAATTTCGTGCAGGCATCAAATGCATCAAAGTTAAAAATTTCCTGTTGGAATTATGAGTCTGTCCACGAAGGGACCGGGTAGGCGTGACACATGCCATCTCACCGATTTCTTTCAAACTCTCACAATTTATTAGAGTCTCTAAGTTATTCAAGAATCCACAGTAGTTCGGGTTCCCAGATAATCCCTAGGGTATTAGAGCCCCCACATCAAATCCCTGGGTAAAAGCTAAAATTAGCTAGAAAAATGCACTTCCAACGAATCTCTCCCACACTAACAGAATGCGATGGATCTTAATCCTACTTTGTCCAATGGTTGTTTGAACCTTAAGGAAACAAAACCTTGAGGTTGGGCTAATTTGATATAACTTCTGCCAATTTAGAGCAGTTAATCATTAACTGTGTCACGCAACTATTCCAAAAAGGAATAAGGATTTTTTAATTCCAAATATTTCCACTGAGCAACATTGTTTGACGAGAAACATACTATCACAGCAAAGACCTACCTTAACACTACATTTGTGGACAAAAACATTTTTGGCCTCTGTAAAAGATTCGTGATCACTTCCCTCTAAAATACGTGACTTCTGACGTTAATTTATGCAATTTTGGGTGATAAACTAATGTTTGTTCACTCAATTTCAATTTGAGAATGGGATCGCCGACCCTAGTTTTTGTGGAACTAATGTCTAAAAACAACAGATGTATGGCTGCCCAGCTAAGAAGTCTCTTATCATAGAAATTCTGTGACGCTGACACAATCCATTGGAAAAAATGATTCATAAATGTATGTATTTATCATACATTAAACATTACCGAACTGAGTAATGGACGTCGGCAGTTGACAGCGAAGTTTGCCAAATGTAATTTACACAAATGAACCACTTTATATACCTATTATAATTTTACTCGATGCGCCATAATTTTGAGAAGACTTTATCCAATTTTAGGTACATTACTGAACAGTTGTTCCTGTTACATTTAACCTCTAATTGAAAAAAAAAAACAAAGAAGGAAAAAAAAAACTTAGCTCTGACGAGTGAGATTGGCTTCTCAGATGTAAAAGATCTATCAAGATTCCGATTTCTTTAGACTAAGGCAGGGAGAGGTTTCTGAATTTTTTTTTTTAATAAAGGGTCTTAATCGGTCCATTTTTGATTATTAGTCCCTTTTAACAGCATAAACGCCTCTTTTTACTCACGCTGAAGCCAATGATTCCATAGGTTACTCACAAGAAGAAGATTATCTGACAGTCACTTTTAAAAATCTTTTTGTACCGGTAAGAAGTTTCTAGTTCTCTTCCTTATCTGAAATCTCGTCTCCATCTCTACGGCATTGCTGACGTATTGCTCGTATAATCATCCTCCAAGGAGGCACTTACAACTCCATTCAGGAGATCGGCCTTACTAAAGGCTAATAGCCTGCTTAAATATCTAGCAATTTGGATAAATGAAAGTTATTCCTCCTTGGTGAACAAGTTTTCTCCATTTCCTAATCTTAGACCCTTCATTTTGGATAGCGCACATCCTCAGAGCAGCTCTTTGAGACGCTGCACTGTTATAAAGAACCTGGCCAATAACCAAGTGCTCGTGATTATGAACTTGACCTTAAAATTCTCCTTAGTTGGTTAACAGGAAACACAGAGAAAATGGTTCGGGATTATGGGCAGGTCATTGTACGTTTCTGTCGCGGTCAACAAGCGCGAGGATGGTGAAATTGAGGTTGAGTTTTAAGTCCGAGATGGTAATTGTTAAAACGCAGCAGAGGAAATTTTAAAATACGTCGATAGACTACGCCACTGTTGCAAAAAGGCTCTTTCCAAAATATGAAGAGGTACAGGATGGTGGGCATCAAAGCTTTGAACAACTTTCCCTTGAATCTTTTGGGATGAGAGCTTGAAAAGTGTAAAATATGGAAAAGAGCTTTTTTTAAATGGGACAGCCTCAAAAACACAGTTCTCCACAATTTCCAACAGAAAAAAATATTTACTTATTACCTGAGTGGAAGGGCCGGACGGAAAATATTTGAGTCGAGGTCATGACGGACCAAGCGCAACGACGTCCGTGCGCCATGACCGAGTGCCAAATTTCTTCCCTTCCGGCTCAAACAAACTCAATCAAAACGAATTTCACTATATATGACCACTAAGTGTCGAAAATTCGAAATTTTTTTTAAACCTAAATAGGACGCGATAGAGGGGCGCACGCAAAAACCACAAAAAAGCCACAAAAAACGATTCTACAATACATACTTTTTTTTAAAGTTTTTGCAGCAAAACTTAAAGGAAACAGCTTTTACTACGGTTTTCTATGGGATTCAGCCACCTAGCTAGTCATCTAAGGATGTTGGAAGGTTTCATGTGGCAGCATCTCAGCCCCAAGTTGCCATAACTGGTTAGCAAGGGACGTTAAACAACCCACGCACTATTCGTAAAGAGAAGGGAACGTAGCTCACGCCGTTGTGGTCTTGTCTTGATTCCGAAATTGGGGGCACTTGCAATACTTCCTTCCAATGTTTGTTGCAATACAATGTTGCTCATTGGAGATATTTGCAATTAAAAAAACCCTAATTTTTTCTATTTTGGAATAGTTGCGTGACACAGTTAATGATTAACTGCTCTAAATTGGCAGAAGTTATATCAAATTACCCCAACTTTAAGGAATTGTTTCCTTAAGGTTCAAACAACCATTGGACAAAATAAGATTAAGATCCACGCATTCTGTTAGTGTGAGAGAGATCCGTTGGAAGTGCATTTTTCGAACTAATTTTAGCCTTTTACCCAGGGATTCGATGTGGCGGCTCTAATACCCTAAGGATTAGCCGGGAGCCCGAACCACTGTGGATTCTTGAATAACTTAGTGACTCTCATAAGCTGTGAAAGTTTGAAAGAAATCGGTGAGATGGCACGTGTCATGCCTACCCGGTCCTCTTGCGGACAGACTCTTAAAAGCCCATAGAAGCTTCAGCCCCGACGACATTTATCCAGGTAAGAACCTTTAAATGTAGCATTAACTCCCTAGCCTCGCCCTTAAACTCTTTGTTTAATAATTCATTCAAACTAGGTATCATTCCTAAAGCCGGGAATGTAGCTGCCTTTTTGTTTGTTTAATTTTTGAAAACAGCTCGGTGTTATTCTGCTTTCCATGAAAGGAGCCCAAATCAAATTGGAGAACTACAGACCTCTATTGTCAGTTAATTTCAAGAGGATCGAAGGGAAGTCTAAGGCTAAGCCCAAGCAGTTGGTTTTATGAAAGAGCGTTCCTGCCTTCCAAAATTACTCAACACTTTCCCACAAAGAGCCCTGAACCAGGCTCTTGCGCAAGCCATTTAAAGTTTTGCGTTTGACCAGGGAGGGAGTTACTTCTATTCATTCTCGGCCAAATACAAACAGGAAATGAACCTTCGTGTCCAAATAAAACGGATACGTGTATTCCAGCTCGTGTTCCCTTCATTAAGGCTTTGTTGACAGATTCAGTGAAAGCGAGGATCGAAAAAATAAAACAACATATATTACATTCGAATTCAACAGCAGTCCTTGTACATATTTAATGTCCTTGGTTAACATACTTCGCAGTTTAGTGTGGTCCTTTCCAAAATATAGTAAATTGAAAAAGAGATTATACATTATAAGGACTACGTAACCCGTAAGACACTTTCTTCTCATTAGTATGTAATTTTAGAGTAATACATAACTCTGCTCTTCATAAAATCATCAGCTAGGATGAAAAAAAATTACAAGTTAGAGTACAAGCTTTGCGTAAATGACTTACTAGGCGAAGTCCAAATAAACTCATTTGAACGAGTATACAACACCTACATTTGGCTTCGAAAACGAACAAGTGTATTCAAGTGTATTGCAATTAAGCTTAAACATTATACCCTTGGAGTCTACCCACTAAAAATACGAAAGCCTATAAATATTGAGAATATGTTGTTACTTATTACTTATTTATACGTCACTAATTCATGTAGACTTTTTAAAGGTTTTCTTTTAGAAAACAACGATATTCATTAAATAGGTTACCAAAATATAATTTAATATTTTTGGCATCTTTTTACAGCTAAATCACCAGTATAACCAATTCCCTGTAGTTCAAAACTTTTTGTTACAAAAGGTATAACATTATTGCCAACAGACCCGTTATACGAAATTGCAGTTGCATTTGTAGTCTATTTTTTTAAACAGTGAAGTTCGTTTATCGAATAATGAACGTTTAATAATCGTTTGAGTCATGATACCGAGTCATTTCTAAACTCTTGATCGCGATGTTTCGACTGCCTCACTGCTGGTCATTTTTAATACTCCGTTCAACAAGTGATAGTGACTAGAAGGTCAGTTATCTAATTACGCACCTTGAACAGTAATCTCTAAGTTGTCATTTATAAAAATGGAATTTACTTCATGACAAGCGAAACGTAACAGGAGGAATCTGTCAGGTCTCTGTGACTCTGACTTGTTACTTGGTCTACTTTGTAGTTGAACGGGAAAGTTGTGCTCCTCTAACTTCCCAATCAGTACCAGTTAACATTTGAGACAAATATTTTCTGCCTTTATCAGTTACATTCCGATTTCCGTGGTAGTCTAAGCTCCGTAGTTTGCAGTTGGTATCAGTCAAGGCCTTACACAGGTGCTTGATTCCTTCATCTCCAAATTTATTGTTGCTTATGTCTAAACTTGTCAATGTACAGAATCCGTTGGTTAAAGCTCCAGACAATTCTTTGATTCCTCCATCTCCTAATCTAATAGAACCGATTTTCAATTTTGTTAACACACAGTTACTGCTGGTAAGTCCATCACACAAGTGTTTCAATCCCTTCTCTCCCCACTGAATGTAACTGGCGTTTAAGCTTGTTAATCTGCAGTTAACGCTGGTTAGCGCGTTACACAAGTGCATGATTCCTTTGTCTCCAAACTTATTGTCACTGACGTTTAAGCTGGTTAATGTACAGTCAATGCTGGTTAGTGCGTTACACAAGTATTCGATTCCTTCGTCTCCCCACCTATTATCACTGACGTTTAAGGTGGTTAATCTGCAGTTAACGCTGGTTAGCGCGTTACTCAAGAGCACGATTCCTTCGTCTCCTAACCTATTGAAACTGACGTTTAAGCTGGTTAAGTGGCAGTCACTACTGATCAGCACTTCACACAGGTATTTTAATCCTTGACTTTGTAAATCATTGCCATGCAGTGTCAAGCTGTAAAGTTCACTCTGAGGAAGCGCTGTACTCAAGTTCTTCAAACCTTCATCAGATATCCGACTCCTTGAGAGAATTAATCTGGTTACTTTCCAGTCCCTGTTGGTGATCGCTTTACACAGTGTTATCAAATCAGGGTCGTACTCTGTTGGCCACACATTCAATATGCCTGAAGTCGAACTGTATATCACTTCATTAGACACCTCCTCGTCCTCGTTATGAATTATACCACACCAGTCCCGTGGTAGTTTAACCATGGGGAGCTCATCCGTAAACGGCAGCACCACCTGCCATGCACCTTCTCTGATGTGAATAGTAAGGAATGTTTTCAATTCGTCTTTATCCATTGCTTCTCGTAATTCCCTAAAGACACAAGGTGGTTGGAGTACTAAAGGATTAAAACAAAAGAAATATTAATTTTTACTTGAAAACATTACAGCGAAAAAAACTACCTTTACATTGTTTTTGTCTAAAAACTGACAAAAAATACCTAAACAAATTGGAAACAAGAAAAAATCGAGTCTCCGTGTTTCGACTTATTGTTGAATCATCCCAAGTAAAAGGAAACCAGTTGGGAAAACAAGGAGACGGACAGAATGAACAATAAAGGTCGTGCGATACCAAAAACATTAAGCTAGGCCCTTTTTCTTTTTGTTTTCCAAGAAGTCTTAAAATGTCAGCAAATCATTTGCGAAGGTGTAAATCATTGTTATAAAGTTTTATTCCAATATTATCTTTCCCCTCCCTAGTAATCTAGAACTCTTAGAGTCGAAAATGCGTGCGAGAAAAGTTGCATGCTGTCGTTGTTTTTTCCCAAATCTGGTTTTAAAGTTTCAGAACATTTTCAAGAACACAATAGAAAAAAACTGTTTTCACTTTGCAAACATAACAACGAAGTACTAGTGTTGATAAATGGAAAGAGATGTCTTTTCTTGAAAACACGATCATAAAGTACTAAAGTTACACCACATAAGCGACCAGCTTTAACATCAGAATTCTATGCACTTATGGAATGAGTAGTAGGGTCATGTGGGTCCAGCTTGATCTTACTCAGTCAATCAGATTTTTATTCCATGAACGCCGCTCTACTCATTCTACTTTCTTCTCGCATGGACGCACGCTTGGCCCCGCAGCTTTTAATGCCCCTGCCAGGGCAACCGCGCATGGCCTTCATAAAGGGGTTTATTTATAAATCTTTTCTTTTCTTATTAGGAACGGGCATTAGACCGCGCAGCTCATTTGATGATTACATTAAGGTACCAGGTCTACTGAGAATGAAAAAAACCCAACACTAGATCACAAATCTGGGTTAAAAGAAAAATTCCTTGACCATTACACAAACCCAGCATTTCTCAATAATCTTACCACCGAATATAGACAACTGGACATATGTTTCAAAGCCAATACAAGCTTATTTTAACAATGTTAAGTACCTTGCTTGCGGAAGTGAAGTTTGGCTGACTCATTTAATAACTTGCTGACATATTTCTGGAGTTCCCCGGGTAAGCTGACATCAAACTTCGCCAGTCCTGATCTAATGGTCGGATACATGGCGTTCTCTAATGCTATCATGAAGGACACAAAAAGACACAAACTATTTTAGTACTTAAGGTCACATTCTCAGTTCAGAGAAATTATTAAAATGAGGAACTACTTAAAAGACAACGCAAGAGTCAATGTTGTCATTAACTGTGAAAGATCACGGACAAGCTTGGGATCAAATTTAAATTTATCATTTAAAGATACCACCCACACGTTTTGTCGATCGTTTCCGACATGGAACATTCATGCAAAAGTTCTTTAATACACGAGCTACACGAGGGTCTCGATGGGGCGATGGCTTTTACGGCTAACGGTTAAAATTTTGGCCATGTTAGGGCTAACTTTTTCTTGTTAAGGAGTTAAAAAGAAACATTTCTTTGGTTAACTCTTTGTAATCTAACGTTATAGTTGAGGGAAAGGAGAGTTTGTCGAAAATTATCGCCCCGTGTCGTTACTTCCAGTGATCCCTAAAGTTCAGGAGCAGTGTGTGGCCTCGCGCCTTGTCTTTCACGTTAAGAAGATCTTGTATCCTTTTCAACATGGTTTTCAAAAGGTCAAGTCTTGCGTTACTCGGCTTATTGAAGTATTCTATGATATTGGTCATGCACTGGACCGCGGGCTAGAATCAGACATAATTAACTTGGACTTTGCCAAGGCTTTCGATTCTGTGTGCCCGGCAAAGCTCGTGTTGAAGCTAAAAACGTTTGGAATCGATGATTCCCTACTCGCCTGGTTTTACTCATACCTAACTGGAAGGCGTCAAAGAGTGGTTATAAATGGAACTTTCAGTAATTGGACTGGCGTTGGGTCAGGTGTACCCCAGGAGTCACTTCAAGGACCGATTCTCTTTTTATTATTTGTAAATGACATGCCAAATGTAATTAATAGTGCGACGCTGGCTATGTTTGCTGACGATTCTAGATGTTATAGGATCATAAATAATGATGTTGATTTTTCGAAATTGCAGTAGGATTTAGTTTCACTTACAACTTGGTCCTTGTCAAATGAATTGTATTTTCAGCCTACAAAGTGCAGTAATCTGCGTATATCTAGGAAGCGTATTAGTTCATATCGTAGCTATAGTATAAATGGTATAGATGTGGAGGTTGTCTCTACTGAAAAAGATTTGGGGGTAGTGCTCGTAAATGACACCTCTCGGAAGGATCATATACTCGTGATAGTTGCTAAAGCAAATAGGTTACTGGGCTTTATTAGAAGGAGCTGCGCAGGAATTGTTGGCAGTGTTCCGCCGTTGCGTCTTTACTGTTCATTAGTGTGTTCGCACTTTTGCTATTGCTCTCAATTATGGGCACCTCAGTCTGTTATCAGCAATTTATTCTTAGTTGAAAATGTGCAAAAAAGAGCTACACGCTTTATACTAAAAAGAAATAGTAGTAAATTATCTTATGAGGATCGCTTAATCTAACTGAAGTTATTGCCGCTTAATTACTGGCTTGAATATCTCGACTTAGTTTTCTTTTTTAAATGTCTTCATGGTTATATTGATCTAACTTGTTCATTTAATTACTATTTTTCCTTTGTTAAGAGTCAGATGCGTCAAGCGTGCTCAGGGCTGAACTTTAAGATTAATAAAAATCATACATCAACATTTCGGGACTTCTATTTTAATAGGATAGCAAATTTGTGGAACAATATACCTAATAATGTTAGGCAGGCTGAGTCTATTGACTCTTTTAAGCGTAAACTTAAGTCGTTTTATTTCAAGAGACTTTTCAACGTTTTTGATGGGGACTACTTTCTTACCTTTAAAATGATTTGTCCTAAATGTCGCCGGGTAAATACCCTTGTTGCGTGCACTTGTTAAGCAGCCTATTTAGTCTATTCATAGTATTAAGTTATTTTAGGAGGGGGTTGGGTTGGAGCTTAAACCTAGTAGGGAACTCATGTCCTATTGTTTTTGTTTCGCTACTGCTTTGTACAAATCCTTAAATCAATAAATAAGTTAAGGATCTTGGAATTCACATCAAATCAAATCTATCCTGGAGCCTGAAAACAAAGCAAACAGCGTGCTCCGATTTATAAGTCGAACAAAGGGCCCCAGGAATCCTAAATTGTTCTCGAAATTTTACATGAGTTTAGTACGTCCAATACTTCAGTACTGCTCTCCAGTGTGGTCTCCACACCTCAAAAAGGATTCGGCTATTTTAGAGAAAGTACGACGCAGAACACCTAGATATGCAATCAGAAACATTGCCCGAGATATGTCATATGAAGAAAGCTTAAAGGTCCTTAAATGGCTAACTCTACATCAGAGAAGATTATTTTCTGCGCTTACTGATTGCTTTAAGACGGCTAACAGTCTTAACGAGCTACACCTATTTGAGTATTTTACATTTGCACATGATTTTCGACCATTAAGAACCAACCACCGCCATAAACTTAAACCATTGCCCGCAAAGCTAAACAGTTTTAAGTATTCTTTCTGTGCAAATATAGTCAATGAAGGGAATAATTTACCTAAAAAAGTTGCAGAGGCAGAAACTCCGAACATTTTCAAGAACAGAGTCAGACGCCATTTTACTAATGTTTTAGGAAATTTTTAACTATTTTACTGCAATTTTTAATTATTTTAGGAGACAAACTTGAAATAGGTAACCTCTTTTGCTTCGTTTTTACTTTTCATTAAAATTTGAATTGTGAATAAACAGTTATGTTATGTTAAGACTAACGGTTGAAATTCGTAAATTTTTACGAATAACAGCAAAATGTTTTTGCTATATTACGGTTAACAGTTAGCCCCATTGAGACCCTCCTACATGTATTACAGTTCACTGACATGCATTAGTACTACATGCACTATTGAAGCAGCAATATGGTAAAGCTAATAACCTCTGGTAGCGCGATGTGGTCATCGTAATTCTGAGGTGGCTTACACAAAGGCTCCTCAACGTTCGACACACAAACTCAATTTACAAACTTCATGTGTACACCTTGTTCTGAATTAGAGCACAATTTGATGCTTGCGGGGCCTTAACACATCAAGGTTGTAAATGGATACGATTAAAAATGGCTAAGCACTCTGATAAAATGCTAGAGTTGTATCCAAGATTCACGACAGTACCACGCACTTGATGCACGTGCAAATCCCGAGGACTGCAAGCGCGCACCACGAAACTACACATAACATGAGACAGTACCTGTAATTTTGCATATGTACCAAAATTTGAAAGTTTCTAAGACCAGGATGAGCTTATCCTAAGAAGCTAGTTATTTTTTAACACGTGCTAAAAAGAAGTCCACTTTTGCCGGGTATTTTGTTTCTTTTCTTCTACAATATTTTTTTCTAGTGCAATGTGAGGTTGTCTCCTTTCTACATGACGGCTGATTGCTGGATTGCTAGGATTTACCACTCGTGAAAACAGTCTCCATCTAAGTGCTGGGTGCCAATGTAGTAATGTAATTTATATCTTAGGCCTCTAATGAGCATTGCAATTGTTAATAATTAATGCAGAAAAAGACTGCACGTGCAGGAGTTCCGTGGAAAAAGATACTTCGATAAAGAAGTGGGAGTGTCTAATAGCATTCTACTAAAATTGTTTTTTCTCTAAATGTGCATTATTTATTCACCTTCCATCTTGACTTTCTCAAGTTCCTGGCGTAGTCTAGTTGCTGTTTCAATGATGGAAACAGGGGGAGGTGAACTACCTGAGAGAAGAAGTAAACAACAAAAAGGTTTAAAGAATTTTTAAACACCATTCTTCGTTGGTAACATTATATAAGAGGAGGGGTTATCTTAAATATGGAGTAAATACATATTATTCAACGCTTCAACATGTAATGAGCAGCGCAGATGTTTTGCAAGTTGCATGCAGGGCTGAGATATTTGAGAGAAAATAATAGGAACCCTTTATAACAAACTCAGAGAAAGTGTTTCACCTTTCAGCTTGTTACTTAAAAAATCAAGCCTGAAATACTAGTATAACCATTTCCTTGCATCACTTTCCATATTTCGTTTGCCCTGTTCAACGCAGCCAATACGCATGTTTCACTCACCTTCCTTTCTTTGTTCAAGTTGTTCTAGTTCATCTTCAAGATCAGCAGTAAAGAGTTCAGGGGGAGGCAAAGTACCTGAAAGGAAAGGTAAACAGAGAGATACACTGTATTTAGCATTCAGTGCCTTACCTCGCATAAATGGTTAAAAACAGGCATTTAACAAACACTTCACATTGTACTAGGCTCATGTGAAGAACTGAAAGTATTGGATAACTATCTCACTTAATAATTATAAAGGAAGAGGGATCATCTTTACTAAGGAATAGTTTCCCTTGAAAATTTATAATTTGAATAAGGAGTGGAAGCATTCATCAATAGTAATAAAATCAGATAACAGGTTCTTTTTAATAAGGATTAATTTCCCTTGAAAAGTGATGATTCGATACAAGGGCGAAAGCCTTTAATAGCATTCTTGGATTTATTTCTCTCTGATAATGAATCAATAAACATTTTATATTCACCTTCCATTCTGAGCCTCTGAAGCTCCATGCGCAATTCAGCTAGTTTTTTCTCAAGATCAAGGACAGGAAAACTACCTGAGAGCAAAGGTACACAGAAATATATTTGGCATTGAGCTATTTACATGACTAAAATATTTGAAAAATATAAAAGGCAAACATTTTTGACATTAGGTCATCATCACCCTGATGATGACCTGGTTTCGAGAATGTTTGGTTTTTACCTATTCAATATTTTAGCTTATTTTTTAAACCTAAGCAAACTTTATGGACAGTTATTAGCATTCTTGTACCAGTTTCTCTCAAAAAGTGACAATATATTAATTTTTCTATTCACCTTTCATTCTCGGCATCCCAAACCCCTCAAATACTGGCTCTAGCTTTTTCGTTCTCGGCATCCTACTTTTCCCAAATACTTGCTTTAGCTTTTCCTTAAGAGAAGTGGTGGGGAGAGAATGGAGAGAATGGAGAGAACCTGGGGGCAAAGGTATACAGAGCTTTTCAAAATTCAGTGTCTGACTTTAAACATAAAAGATAACAA